ACAGAGGAGTGTAGGCGAATTTTTCTCTAGGATCGTAACACCACGGTCTTCCAGGCAGAAGTCACCGCTATTCTAGTATTGGCAGGTAAGGATGAGGTAAGGAACATGCGGTATACATCTGCTCTTATCGGAGCCAGTCTGTTCTAAAAGTGGTGTGCTCCCCCAGAACGAGATCGGTTCTCGTTTAGGAGTGCGGGTACGAACTTGATGAGCTTGCCAAGCAATAGCAAATTGTCCCGGGCAACGAGAAGGCCGATGAACTGATTAGACTTGGAGTCGAAGGGCCCTGCCTCGGACCTGGACTTATATTGGGTATCACAAGAAGACAGGTCACGACCGCGACGGATCTCAATGAGGCTCCAGAGGCATAGTATCTTCGATACTGGGACGTTTCTATGAGAGAAATGAGTAGCATTCAGACCTTTATTAGAAAATCGGAAAGATTTGACGAGGGAGCAAGAGAAGTATATGGCTGAGGTGATGGCTGGGAATGTGTAAAAAGGATCCGTCCGCAGCCTACTTGTCAGGTGTCAGTCTCCTCCCACCCATTACTATTTTCATGACCATTACTGTAAATACAGCTGATAGCGGTGAACCGTCATGTCAAAGATGATAGTTCTTCTCTGTCTACGCCTAATAAGTTACTCAACAAGATACACCCTGGCATTACGCCAAATTTGCAACGACATTGTACCCATAGTGTACTATATCAGAGATAATTTTCAACGATTTTACGAATTTAACCAATCTGGTATTCCGCTAACCGCCAACATCACTCAAATAATGTAGCGCCTTTTCGGATAAGACACAAATTACTGTACCAAACGTTACCAATATTTCGACCACACCCCTCCCACAAAAGAGAGGATACGTTTTTTCTATAAATAGGATACCAAAATTCAAAATGTTCACCTTTATCTTTCTCTCTTTTTGTTTATTTTTGTCTTCTAAATTCTCTTAACATTTTTTTCCAAATTATAAGAAAACCATCAGTAAATTGTGGAACGTTATAAATATACAAAAACATTTTTCTATTTGAAAATAAGCGGAGTTGGACATTCCCGCTCTCTATTTCAGTATTGTTAGGAGACGAGCTTTTTTACTGTAGCAATTTGGCTCGCCGTGCTATACTTAAATTCAAAATTCATATACACCAGTTTACACTATACCTCATTTTTTTTCAGTATTGTTTTAAAATTTTTTCGTTAGCGACGCCTACTATTGCATGCGTCGCTAATTCTTTTCGTTAATGTTATTATACAATTTAAATTATTTAGTTTGGGTGTTGTATTTATTGTTGACCGACCCTGCTCCGCCCGACCTAACAATTGCCCTATCGTTATCATATGCGGGGATGCTAGGTCGGCAACGGACCGGGTGCCTGGTGAGGGACATATACTCTGTTCATTTTAATTGTATAATAAATATTTTTGAATTTGAAAAAAATTAATTTGGAAGTTCCCCTAAAACTGGAAAATAAAAAGTTTACAATTATTATGCGGGACATTATCCAGTGTCAGACTGTGTCAATTAGACGTTTACGAAAAATGACACTGCGCTTTCTGATCTTAAAATTCTTTGCAAAATGCGGCTCTGCGCGTTTTTGCTGGTTAGTATTTGTTTTTACAAAATAATTTAATTTAAATGCATCAAAGGCAATAGAAATAATTAATTAATATTGAATAGATAGATCTATTTCCCCTTTTTAATCTCATGTAATCAACATTTTATTTATTTTTTCTCAGATATGCCATCATTTCCAAAAATTCACCTCTGCTATTCATGTGTCAGGATTATCCTGACTGAAAATAACCATAAATTTTGAAATTACAACAGAAGATTTAAGACGGTTTCGTCCCTATTATAACATTGTTTTCGGAAACTAGGCTTCCAGAAGTCCGTTAAAAGAGAAAAGGATGAACCTAGTAGCTTTCAGATGCTGTTTTTGCAAACGCTCATCATTTTCAAATTAACATTTTTAGAAGAGATTGAAGACAATTATATATTCGTTATTGTTGTGTCTTACAGCTATTAATCATTGTAGATAATATGATATCTGTTACCAGTTTTTTACCTGCAATTTGTGCAATTTTGACAATCTCTTAAATTATTTGAAGAGCAAGGTTAATGTCTACCACTCCTTAATATTCGTATCGAAACTGTATCGCAATTAAACAAAATGTAATATAACAGTAAAAGAATTTACTAAATTATTAATCTTTCTATATTAATATACGAAGTCAAGGTCATCTTCGCAGTATTATGACTAGGTTAGGCAAAATCTTCGTACAATATTATACACATAGAGGTGTGACGTTTGTTATTACAAATTTGACAAATTTGTAACCCTCTCGTGTTTTTTTTTTTAGTTATAAATACAATCAAACTATTGTTGTCTAAAATGCAATTGTGGTATTATGAAAACATTAGAATTATTTTATTTTATTTATTTACTATTTATTTATTACAATGAAATATCTAACGGGCAAGAGTCCAATTACAGGATAAGGGACAAGTACTATCGTATTATGCATGCATACTCACATACACACATATACACAATATCTACATATACATATAAAGAACAATAAAGATACCTAATACATAACATATATAACATAAGTTACGCGATACTTTTTTCACATCACTGAGGCTGCAAGATAAAATATCTAATATATTTTCAATATTAAAGCAATTAGTTAACATTTAATGTCAGATTAGTGTATACAAAAGGTAACAAGAATAAGATGTTATGCAGTTCAGCAGTAATTCACTCAGATCTTATCACATAATGAATTAATTCATGAAGAAACATTACTCAATGCAGTCTGTGTCTAATGAAGACACTTTGCTGATCAAGTTTCTGAAAAAAAAAAAACTACTGTTGAACTACACCTCTTTCGAGACACACTTCATCTAATAAAAAAAGTAGCAAATTTGAGGAATCTTCTCTAAACTCTCTCTAGCAATGTTACGTACAGTGCATGTACAGATTGTAAAGCTCTAACTTTTACATTGTTTCACCATTGCATGCATACCAATACCTACGTTTAAACGTGGCACAAGCAAGTATGATCCTAAATACAAGTATACATAAATATATTAAACTATTTAAAATGTTAAATAAGATTTACTGGAAACAACTACTCAGCGGACAAACGCCCCGACCTGCGTTGAATTAAACCTGCAAGTCTTGTTTGGTAGCTAAGATTATTTGTCAATTCCTCGCTAGACATAGACAGGTTTCGAACTTGTTATGTTCTCGTCAGTATGCCATAAATAATGGAAAAGACAAATAATAATAGCAAACCAAGCTAGCATAAAACAGACCAAGCAAGACAAATATAGCAAGTGATAAGTGTACCCCCCTGGGATCGATGCTGCTATCCGTCACTAACGTCTTGGTACCTGCTTTTCGGGCAACCATTAGTCACTAATCAGTGATGTCTGACGGGTAGTAGCACTAACCACCAGAGGGATACACTTATCACTCACTATGTCTGTCTTGCTTAGTCTGCTTTAAGCTAGCCTAGTTTGCTATTATTATTTGCCTCTTCCATTACTTATGGCATACTGACGAGAACATAACAAGTTCGAAACCGGTCTATGTCTACTGAGGAATTGACAAATGATCTGAGCTACCAAACAAGCCTTGCAGGTTTAATTCAACGCAGACCGGGGCTTTTATCCACTGAGTAGTTGTTTCCTGTAAATCTTATTCAGTATATAGTTTAGCCCCCCGAGGTTAGAAGTCACAGCTCTTGGTGCCTGCTTTGCAGGTCGCTATCAGTCACCAGACATCAATGATGACTGACGGGTAGTAGCATTGACCACCAGAGGGATACACTTATTACTCACTATGTCTATTTAAAATGTAACACTGGTAGCTTTATAGTCTGTATAGAACTATATCTGTCTGATGCATACTTGAGTCTTGATCTTACAAACAAACGTGATAAATAATACTTTTTAAAATCCCTTGACCGCGTTGGAGAAGTTAGTATAGATGATATCTACCTGGCTTCCCCCGTCAGTTCAGATATACATGGCATTCCATTTAAAAAAATGTTAGTTGACCCTGTAGAATCGACTGGCTCACTCTGTATATTCGAAAATAATTTCCTGTTATAGACTCTTTTGTCTAGTTTATATATGTTTTTAAATCAAGTTTCTAGTTATCATAGAAATCGACATATCAAAGTCGGACGCACTATTGCCCCACCCTGTATTTTTATTTAAAAAAAATATAAATAATTCTCCTTTGTCTATTTAGGGCACACGATTCCAAAATCTACAGTCATTAACCCTGCGGAATCTGAGGAGTGTCAGTAGGTAATTCCTTGGTGTTCCTCTTGTGTGATATCGGAGGCCACGGAAGGACTTCCAGACTGCGCTTGAGCAAAAAAAAATAAAATGTAAAGTTTATTCTTATCCTAAGTACAAATTTATTATAAAATTCTATAAATAAAAGTAAACTGAACACATTACATTGAAATTTGAATAACTTAAGTTGACTAGTTTTGAGGATTTGCTATGTTAAAAATTTCCCACTTTTTTAAGAACATTTTGACCATACCAGTTTTTAATCCGTTATGTCTCGAAAAATGTACAACCTACCTAAATAAAATCTTAGTTATCGATAAAATACAGCTTTTTTCATACACTGGCTTTATTTCTAATTTTTCATTCTAAAATTTCGGAGTTATCAAAAATGTGACTTCATGCTCATTCAGTTATTTTTCAAGATATTTGAATTTTGGTAAAATTATTTATTACAAAAAATGTAAACATTTTTAAGAAAACGATTTTGAGAATATCAATTATTAATTGTTATCCATGCAACGCGACAGATAATATAAATATTGCTTTATTTAGTTGTTTGAAAGGCTGTAATTTATTAACCGTTCATATTTTTTAAACCGTTTTTTCCAGATAATTGTTTATTTGATTATAAGTTAATGTTCTAAAAAGAATCTTCCAAGATAACTGTGATAAATGTGGCTTCGTGTTCTAGTGGTAAGGACACTTGCCTCTCACCCTGGAGTCCCAGGTTCGATCCACGGACGAGGAACGCGCAAATGCAGAGGGTTGTTTAGAATGGGGACCGTCATTCGCATATCGTTTGTATTTGTGTTTACATCGGTACACTATTGCAAGAAGTAACTTTAAGAAAATTGTTGTATTTTGTAATTCAGTGTTTTGTGAATTATAGTGCTATAAATTTTGGCGCCTCGCACATATCTACGCCTTGTAATGTTTGTCAAGTAGTATAAGTCCTAATTATGAACATTAAATTGAATTAACTCGACCGCTGTTCTAAATTATTATTTGTAAAATGACACATCGAATTCGGGTAGACAATTGTAGTCATAATTTACGATATTTATACTTCGTCACTGCAAAACCCATTTTTTTAGGAACACTTATTCTCAGTCTAGGCCTTTTTTTCTCTTCTATAATCTATGTTCCCACTTTTGATTAATTCACAAAATAGTATGTATACACAACACATAATAAATAATAGGCTTGTTCCAATAGCAGTCTTGGACCAGTTCGAAACCATCAGAAATATTCATTCAACTGCCTCTTATAGGCTTAGCTCACTCTATTTACATTAATACTTAACTGGGCGAATATTTCTGATGATTTCAAACTAGTCCGGGACTGTTGTTGGAACAAACCTATAATTCTCTCACGATATTGGCGAATTCACAATAAAACACCATAAACTAGAATCCAGCCTTGAATAAAACTTACAGTTAATAGCACGTGACATTGACCAATAGTCGAGCCGCCAGCTGGGTGGTAAAGTCCACCTCTCGGTACAGTTTTTTCATCATAATTGACTGACACAGTGATTATATGCCATGAAGACGACTCTTAAAGTATTGCTAGGGGTCCCATGGTCCAACACTAACCATATGACAACGTAAATTTCACCAGCCGCTACTCAAGTAGTTGAGTGTTAGGTATTTCTCATATAGAAAATAATACTAGGCAATAGGCATAACAATTTTGAAAAATTATACTCCAGAAAAGTAAAGTCAATCTATCCGGAGAAGATTTTTTTAAATTCTTAATTATTAAAAAGTTCTAGGTATTTAAAAAATTATAAGGGATGGTTTATTTCATACCTTTAAAAACAGACGGAGTGGATAAAATATCTTCGCAGAATAGTCATCCATAAGTAGAAACTGCTCACCAATTTTGCTTCCCTAAGTTGAATTAGTACCGAAGAAAAAATTTAAAACGAGATCTTCTCAGGGGGGATCTAGTTTTAAAAAAGATTATATGAGAAAACCTCATTTAATTTTTATTAAGGGACCAGTAGTAAAATATTTGCCTTATTTCCGGATCACCCTGTATATTACCCACCTAAAAATGACAATCTAATTTTTTTAAAATTCTTAATTATTAAAAAGTTCTATTTAAAAAATTATAAGGGATGGTTTATTTCATACCTTTAAAAGCAGACGGAGTGGATAAAAATATCTTCGCAGAATAGTCATCCATAAGTAGAAACTGCTCACCAATTTTGCTTCCCCAAGTTGAATTAGTACCGAAAAAAAGAATTTAAAACGAGATATTCTCAGGGCGATCTAGTTTTAAAAAAGATTATATGAGAAAACCTCATTTCATTTTTGTTAAGGGACCAGTAGTAAAATATTTGCCTTATTTCCGGATCACCCTGTATATTACCCACCTAAAAATGACAATCTAATTTTTTTAAAATTCTTAATTATTAAAAAGTTCCATTTAAAAAAATTATAAGGGATGGTTTATTTCATACCTTTAAAAGCAGACGGGGTGGATAAAAATATCTTCGCAGAATAGTCATCCATAAGTAGAAACTGCTCACCAATTTTGCTTCCCTAAGTTGAATTAGTACCGAAAAAAGAATTTAAAACGAGATTTTCTCAGGGGGATCTAGTTTTACAAAAGATTATATGAGAAAACCTCACTTCATTTTTATTGAGGGACCAGTAGTAAAATATTTGCCTTATTTCCGGATCACCCTGTATATTACCCACCTAAAAATGACAATCTAATTTTTTTTGTTATTAATATTTTTTATTAATATCGTTAGAATTAATATAAAAATATTGGTTTAATTTAAAATTAATTGAAAGTGCAGGTGTGCTACTAATTATGATTATAAATTTTATATCTAGGTATAACATATTTAATATTTGGAATTATTGTTGTTATATCAGTTTATTATTTATTGCATACTTAGTTATAAGAATTTCAATATTATGTAGTTAATTTATATAAACTTGACATACAATGTTAAGTTTTTATAGACAGGAAGTGACCAAATCTAAATTAGACTATTACATGTGCGTAAACTGAGCATAGAGAATATAAGCAGTAGTAAAAGGATAATAAGCCAATAGCTAAAAGAACTAATTAAATTGTTAAGTTGTAAATCTATTATTAATACACGTGAGGATTGCGATTTGATATATGTTACATTGGATTCTCTTATACACATTACAAACGCGATGAATAAATACATAATTAAAATTTTTTTACCGACACTTTTTTAATTATTCTATAAGAGCGGGAAGGATTTTCAAACAAAAATTATTATAGGATCAAAAATAGTAAAACATAATTTTGTTCAAATGTTTTTTTTTTAATTTTCAGAAGATATTCCGTTGAGTTATTTTATCACAACAAATAAATCGTTTCCTTCCTATCCCTATTTTTGTTTAATATTGAATTTAGGATAATAGTGACTCATTATTAAAATTGATATAATAAAAACCTAACACTTTTATTGAATATTTTTTCAAATTTCTAGATAAAATCTATAAAATAGAGCAATAAGTGGCATTATGAACAATTATGAATTTGATAAATAATATATTTTTAGTAGGTACATAAAATATTTCAAGGAAATTTTTAAACCAAAGAAAAATCAAGACAAATAAAACAAAAAAAATTATAAATATGTATTATGAATTTAACCGAATGTGTACTCGAAATTAGTTCAAAGGATAATTGAAGAAACAAACCATTTTTTAATTTATGAAAGTAATAAAGTGGAGATAAGCTGGAAGTGACTAATTACAGACCCATCTCTCTGATCTCAAACTTAGCTAAAATATTTGAAATGTTGTTGAAAAAACGAATCCAAAATTATATGGACAGGTATAATATATTATCAGATAAGCAGTTTGGATTCAGGGATAATAGATCGACGCAGGATGCAATAGCTTATTTAACATCTAAAATTAGTAGGTCCATTGATGGAAAATGTCCGGCACTTTGCATCTTCGTCGATTTAGCAAAAGCCTTCGATACAGTCAGCCACTCCCAGCTTTTATGTATATTGGAGGGTATCGGATTCAGAGGAACTTCATATGAACTAATAAATAGCTATTTAAATAATAGGAAACAGTGCATGAAAATAAATAACACGTATAGTTCGATTGAAACAGTTACATATGGGGTTCCTCAAGGAATAATCCTAGGACCGATACTCTTCAATATATACTTGAATGACTTATATAAATTACCAGTAAATGGTGATATAGTGAGTTTCGCAGATGATACTGCTGTAATATATAAAGCCCCAGATTGGGAATCTTTAAAAATAGCCGCAGAAAATGATTTTAAACTTATAATGGAATGGTTTGATAGTCGGCTTTTGACAATTAACTACAGCAAAACTCACTACATGCCCTTTACATCATATTCGAGATACCTACCAGATTTTAACACTCTTCTTATCCCGGCCCACAATGCAAATGTAAACATCTCCTTAGTGCATAGTATTAAGTATCTAGGTATAATAATAGATTGTCATCTAAAATGGGATATGCATATAAATCATTTAATAAAAAAATTGAGGTATGTTACATACAGGCTTAAGTATTTATCCCGAATACTTACAATTTACCAGATGAGGATACTATACTATGCATTAGTTGAAAGTCATATAGCATATGGGATAGGTGCGTGGGGTACAGCAACAAACAGTCATTTGAATAAACTAGAAATTATACAAAAATGTGTCCTAAAAATAATGTATCAAAAAGCTTATACATATCCTACTAACGACCTATATTTAGAAACAAATATCCTTGACCCTAGACAGCTATTTTTTTTAGTAGTTGTAATCAGGCAGCAAAAACATAGGCATGAATTAATCGATATTGAACACAGCTATAATACTAGATATAGACAAAATGCTTCGCAGATTCCTAAACAAGAGAAAAGTATTTTACTAAGAAGTTATATTTATCTAGGGCCCAAACTACATAACTTAATTCCACTCGAATTTAAAGAAATAAACTCGATTAATGTATTTAAAAATAAAATAAAAAAATGGTTGCGCCAAGTTCCTAGACTGCAAATTCATCAATATGTAGATTGTAAAAATATTTATATTGTATGAAGAAAACAGAATTAAAATGTGTACATTCGTATGCGTATGTATGTGTGTGTATGTATATATATGTGTTTATGTATGTGTATATATGTGTATATATGTATGTATGTATATATGTATATATATGTATGTATATATGTATGTATGTGTATGCATGTGTATATATGTGTTTGTGGATATATGTTCATATATGTACTGTATGTATATTTAACAGTTTTTTTTTCTTTTTTTACTTTGCTTTTAGTTTTACTTTTAAATTTTTGCATAGCTTGCTGACTGGAGAAAACTTTTCCACTTTCAGGGTCCGCCTTATGTGGGATCATTTTCTTCATTTGCTTACCATAATGGGATTATATTGTTTAAAATTACATTTACTTTGTATTTTCTGGGTGGTGAATAAAGAATATTATTATTATTATTATTATATTATATAATTTGTACTTTTCACTTGACGACTTTAGCGGCATTTTCAGTTTTATTTAAAAATGAACTTCTGGCAGTAATTTCTCGACTCGTCTCGAATGTTCTGAAGTTTTTTACCTATTTTTTCTATTACTGATAATTAGAGATCGGGAGATAATGATACATTCCAGAGACGACTTTTACATAGATATGTAATAATATTGGAAACACCTAATAAAACCATCCCAAACAATATGAAATAAAAAAATATAAAT